CGAACCATAAGTCATGGTTAGCCTCTAGCAAGACGCCATGACCACCCACCTAGAATAGAGTTAGAAGTGATCTAACAAAACTAGCAATAGCTCGAATTCAGATCCTTTGTCTCACGATGTCATATGTTGAACAAGGGCATGGTATGAGCCACCATTCAAGTTCAACCGCTTACTCGTCTTGGCAAATCGTCTGATAAAATAGATGTAACTTCATCTATAGCGTGGCCACGCATTTTCACAGTCCGGTTTCCACAAGGGGCCCAGCGACATCTCTCCTGTTAAGGAGGTGACAAGTCTCATATTGCATGTCTACTATCTCCATATGATTCGTGAACGTATCTGATCAACGTTGTTATAATCTTCCGGTTAAAGATGACGTTTGACGCAGTCAAGACATGCCACTCCTCATATCAGATACTCTAGACATCTCAGGTCTGAGGATCCAAGAACGAACCGCTGTATCAGATTCAAGTCATGACTCATGTCCATATGACAATCTCATGCAGGTCATCCAGTCACTCGTTCCAAACGAGTACCCATGATTGTGATCTGCATCCAATGCATATGATCATCATCATCAATCACACATCATACTGGTCTTAATTCATCACTGTTCCCACAATGACAACTTACCAGGGAGTTTAGAATCATCTGCAATGATTCATGGATACCTACCAAAACATAACAAACATGCCAATCATACAACGGGAAAAGTAATGCATAAACCAATGAATCAATACATACTCTAAATGTCATATCACGGATCATCGTAGAACATTACAACCAACAATCTCCCACTATGCTCTATGATCTATCCTACAAGCATCTAATCCCCAAACTCATAACACGACCATCATGCTTTGACGAAGAGAGAAGCTTCGTCAGCGGGTCGGCAATATTATCATTTGTCGACACTCTGCTTATCGTCACGTCTCTTCTGTCGATGATTTCTCTGATCAAGTGAAATCGCATGAGTATGTGTTTGGATCTCTGGTGTGACTAGGGTTCCTTAGCTTGTGCGATCGCACTATTGTTGTCACAGTACAACTCAATGGGATCTACAATGCTAGGAACAACTCCTAGGTCTCCCACGAATTTCCGGATCCAAACAGCTTTCTTAACTGCATCCGATGCTGCTATGGACTCGGCTTCTGTAGTCGAATCTGCTACGGTTGACTGTTTGGAACTCTTCTAACTAATAGCCCCACCGTTCAGGTAGAAAACGTAACCTGACTGCGATCTGAAGTCATCTCTGTCGGTCTGGAAACTAGCATCGGTATAACCCCTTATAGCGAGCTCGTCTTCCAATCCGCCATACACCAAAAACAAATCCTTTGTCCTTCTCAAGTACTTAAGGATGTTCTTGACTGCAATCCAGTGAGCTTCACCTGGTGTAGACTGATATCTACTAGTCATACTCAATGCATATGATACATCCGGGCGAGTACACAACATGGCGTACATGATTGATCCAATTACCGAGGCATATGGAATCCTACTCATGCGCTCTTGCTCATCCTGTGTCTTTGGACACTGAGTCTTGCTAAGAGCCACATCATGTCCCATTGGCAAGGCACCCCTCTTGGAGTCTTGCATCTTGAACCGATTCAAGACCTTGTCAATTGTATGTA